ATATGATAAGAAAATAAGTTTACAATTAATACATTTATTTATTTAATATAATGTATACAAATTCCAGAATCTTTTACATTTACAATAATATTTATTATTAATTCAATTTCAGTTTTATCCTATATATATAAACTATGATTAGAAAATTGGTTTTTTTTAGTTAATTTTCAAATTGATATATATCAATACATTAAGGATTTTAGGATATAAAATTTACATAAATCCAATAAGAATAGTTTTAAAATTTTTCACTTATGTTGATATATTTTTTAAACTTGAAAGCTTAAAAATAAAAAATTATCAAAAAAAAAAAAAAAAAATTCCCTACTTTCCCATTAAAAATTATCTAACCAAATTAAAAAGCAATTTAAAAAATTTGCACAGGTGGAGGGGCACGTTTTACATTTGATAGACGTCGTTTTTTCTTCGGTGGACCATTTGATTCTTCTTCGGATTCTTCACGAGTAGAAGTAATTACATTATTATCTTCCGTTACATCAATTTTAATATCAGATTTACTTTCTTTTATAATTTGAAGAGTCCCTTCACCCATAACATCCATAAATTCATCAACACTTGATAGATGATCACTGTGAATATCTTCTTCATCTACTTTAGTAGAAGGTGATAAGGTTTGCATAGAATGTCCATCTGCATCAATCGATGTATTCTTATATGTATCGTCATCTGCAATAGCTGTTATCGTATCAGGGGTGGAAATATTCTTTGACGAATCAATGATTCTTGCGTTAAATCTAGGTGGTGGTGTCGATGGTGCTGACTTATCATTATTATTAATGTTAATCGGATTTTCCGCAATTAGAGTATCAGCTGTGGAAGTGGTTGTAATATTTATTGGCGTTTCCATTGAAATTGTTGAACAATCCGATGAGGATGATACTTCCCTACTAGGAGTTTTTTGTTGATTATCTTGTTGTTTCGGTATCAAGGTAGATGTTGGAAATGACGAAATGGCTGAAGATAATATCAATTCTGCGGCCAATGAAAGATTATCTAAACCGCTACGTTCCACCCTTGGAGTTGAGGCATATACTGGAACTGTCGTAGTTGTGGTGGTAATGTTTGGTTGAATAGGAGCGTATGTAGGCACAACCCTTGGAATAGAAGAATTATTCAATTGCGTTGGATAAGTAACTGATTGAGTTTGACGAATATCTTGATGTTGTCGTGGAAAAGAATACGGAGGAAATACGGATCGAGTATTTGAAAGATAAGGGGGATAATGCGATGAATTATTTTGAATTGCTTGTGGTATTTGATATGGGGGGAAATTTCTACGATTTGGATCTTGTTGTTGTGAAGCATATGCTGATGGAATAATTGGTAATCCATTTGAATACGATACTGAGAGAGATGATGAGTTAACAGGAGGAGGCTAATGAGATTAAAAGAGTAAGTAAAGCAGAGAATTTTCCCCCAAAAAGAAAAATAAAAATAATAGACAACGACGTTCAACTTCTTACGTTTAATTGCTGAGGTTGGTTCTATCGTGAATATGTAAAAGAAAGGATTAAAATTCAAGATATAGTAGCTTAATTAAAGTCATTTAGATTTGATTACTTACTTGTATATATTGTTGTGAATGCTGTGAAGGCATTTTTTGTACATGTGGGAAATTGTAAGTTAAATATCCATTCGTCTGTTGCTGAGGAACATATTCAACAATCTTTCCAACTACCTCTGTAGTATTTGAAGATGTCGAGTATTGTAACAGAGAAGGTTGTGCCTATTTTGCATTTTGGACAATAAGCATTAATTTTCAATTTAAGAACATAACCAAACATTATTTGTGCAAAAAAAAAAATATTAATAATAATTACTTTTCTTTTCATGTTTCTTCTATCTAGCTATATATATATATATATATATATTAACATTGATGTTGCAAAGAGTAGAGCATTGAACCGAATATACATATATTTATATTATATTTATAAAATGACAAAGCTATTGGATTGTTTAAAGAAAAATTACTAACCTCTCTACGAGCTTCTTGTTCTTGTAAGCTAGCATATTTTTCTTTAATATCAGCTAGTTGCACATTAGTTTCTTTGTATTTTCGACTTAGAATTTTAACATCTTCTTGTAATATCTTAAGTTCTACAGAATGCTTACTGGTCTTTTCTTTTTCCTGGTAGAACAATATAATTTGGTAACTATTTATTGAAGTTGAAAAAAAAAATCATAAATATCGCTTACTCTTATCGAATGAAATTTTGCCATGCTCTCAATATGTTCATTTGCTTTTTTGGCTCTTGCCTGTGCCTCTTTTATCTAAATAAAATAATTTTGTTAATAGATTAATTTATAAATCTTCAATTAATAAAATAACAAATATTTGATACGAACTTTTGATTCTGCTTCACAAGATACACGATTTAATGTTGATTCATAGGCACGAATATGAAGTATTGCATCTTTTAGCTTTAAAAGAGATAAAAACGATTGCAATCTAGGTAAATAATTCCACTAAGTATAAAGTTCATCGTAATTACATAAACCTTTCCTCAACAAACAAGAACTTACCATATGTTTTGCCGTCTCAATGTCCAATTTTTCTATAGTATCATCATCTAAAATATAACGCATGGAACTTTCAACCTTTACGTTTTGAGACTTAAGCCAAAAAATTATCAAAAGTTATATTTCTCAAGTATCTTTTGAAACATTAATATTGATTAACATGATAAATTTGGTAAAGAATATACTACCTGTGCATAAAATTGAACTTGTGATAGCGGTGACTGCATTGGTAATTGTATTGTTGATTGTTGTGTCGTTGATTGTAACTGGCCATTTGTTATATGAGCAGGTGTCGAAGTATCACCTGCATTGTCGCTTGTAGGGGTATGTAAACCAGACTGTTGTTGGTTTAATAATCCTTGGAATATTTAATTAATCGTTAAAAATTTGTTGTAATTTAAAAGTTTTAGATTATATGGTAAATGAAATACCTCCAACAACTTGACTTGAATTTTCTATATCCTCATCATCTTCAGCTGGTAACAAAACCAAATCAATTTTCCATCTAGCACGTTCTCCCCAAATAGAAACCTGTAATAAAAAAAAAAAAAAAATGGAAAAATATAAAATAATATGTTGAAAAAACTCACTATATATTCATATTTATCGTCTTGTTATAGTACAAAAATTTAATTTTTGTGAATAGTAAAAGCTTATAACCGCGTTTAGGTTTTTATAGATAAAAAAAAAATTTTTTTTATCTTATGCATAAGTAATCGGTTTGTTCAATGAGTAATAAAAATAAAATAAAACAGTTATTTATTCTTTCAAACGTGCAGGTATAACTTTACCACTAAATAGAACTCTTATTACCCTTTTATATATTTTCTGCAAGAAGTTAATTCATACCTGTTTTTTAACAGCCTCGAAAATATTTTCAAGGTGACTTAAGGTGGAGGTAGGAAGTTGTTGAATAGGTTTAGTCGTGGAATTTGGCGGTGTAGCGGACACCATAGTAACAGAAACAGAATCCGACCTTTGTGTTAAGTGGGTTTTAATATCATTTTTTTTTTCCATTGGAATTTGATAAGATTGAGACATTTTTATTGTTCACTTATAGATCCAAATTTTTTATTAGAGGTTTAGCTCAAGCAAGAAATTAGTAATGGTTAAAGGACCATAAAAAAAAAAAAAAAAGTTATAAGAAAGAAATTGGAAAAAAAAGCCGTGTTGAATCAACAACGCAACTAAACACTAGTGTATTATGTGACCACGGTTTACTGCTACTATGGCTGTCAATCATTAATGTTCGTGTTTTAGTCACGTGCATAAAGACCGTATTTATCGCGTTTGATGTACCAAATTTGGTGAAATTTATTTTGCCAGATTTTATAATTGACACATGATCTTACCTCTAATTCCGCGGAATAC